CTAACAATTTGAGGGTTTGTAGCTTAGGTCGTGATCTTTCCAAAACATGTATATATGATGAGACGGTGAAACTCCGACGAAACAGTTTGCCACAACCCCTCGTTTGTTGTCCTCTTCTCTCTCTCTGCCTACGGTTTACCGGGCAGTTCTGTTTGTGACGATATATTCAGCCTCCTGATGAGTCGGTGAAACCCCTCGTTTGTTGTCCTCTTCTCTCTCTCTGCCTACGGTTTTACCGGGCAGTTCTGTTTGTGACGATATATATATATATATATACAGAGAGAGAGAGAGAGAGAGAGAGAGAGAGAGAGAGAGAGAGAGAGAGAGAGAGAGAGAGAAGAGGACAACAAACGAGGGGCTGTGACAAACTGTTTCGTCGGAGTTTCATTGACTCGTCAGGAGGCTGAACCCTCAACAGTCTGCAGAATCCCCTCACTGATTAACCAAAATCAAAGTCGATTATCACTCACCCACACCAGATGGAAAACTCTACATATATCATTTTGCCCTCGAAATAAGCGCTGCGCTGATTCAGCGCAATTCCATTTTTCCACTCGACCATGTGTGGCTAACAAAAACAGTACGGCAGATTTGGTGATTGCTCGTGCTCAAAAGAATTCACAGAAAATACTAAAAATTTGCGGGTTTGCAGATCAGGTCGCAATCTTTCTAGGAAAACCATTAAAAAAAAAATACAAAAAATCATTTTGCTCATCAAATAATTGTAGCGCCGATTTGTCATATTTCCATTTTTTGCCACACTGGGACCAAGGCCAGGCCCCACAGTGACGTACCAGTAGGCCATGTGCCTGTTCGAAAAGAAGGCCTACCAGTACCCCGACTTTCTAAAGATGGGTAGAGGAGTGGCTTAAGAGAAGATAGCAGTATTTGGTAATCACACAAGTGGACAGAAACGCAGTGGAGACAGTGCTGCTTTGTCCGTCTACTTACCAACATGCACTAAAGAAGATGTCAATCTCCAATGGCGCCTGCAAGCATGAAGAAAGGAACGAGAAGGAGGTCATGGCAGAAGCAAGAAGGAAGCTGCATGGGATAGGAAGGGCAAAGTGGGTTGTGCGTGCGTGATTCCGAAGCAAAAGGACCTCGGGAAATGGCGACCTATTGCACCAGCTAACAGAGAGCCGACCAAGACGGGGAGCAGCAGAGAGGCCAGAGCACTCAACGCCCTCGAGACAAGACTTCCAGAGGCAGCACACGTCAACATGGGGGTGACAGCGCATCTAAAGGAGAGGCTCACGCAAACTGAGAAGAGGTGCAACAATAAAAAAGGGAATGTGATGGTTCTCCTACGGAGCTACGGCATAAAAGAGATGTTCACATCTCTGCCGCATACTGCAATCCTTGATGCGGTAGATTGGCTACGACGGGAACCGGAGGTGAGGTGAACAGAAAAAGTGAGCATGAGCAGGAGAGGCAAAGAGGTGGTGATGAATAAAAAAAGCAGGGGCAAAGGATATGTGCAGATGTCTTTCCAACTCATTGGGGAGTACCTTAAGTTTGAGTTGAACAACGCGTACACGACCTGCAGAGGAATGTTGCTCAGGCAGATCGTGGGGATACCAATGGGAAAGAACTCAAGTCGCCATTTTCGTGCATTTTGTGCACTAAGTATGAGACCGAGTTCATGCGTTCCTTGGGGAAAGACAGAGCATTAGTGCAGGGAATCAGGTTCGTGCACAACATCATTCTACTGGTGGGCGAGAATCGAGAGCTCATTCCACAAGGTGGAAAGGGAGGCTTTCGAAGGGTGCTAATGACGAGGGAAGCAATACTATGGATTTCATTGGCACAGAAGTTACAACGGCTACCTGTCCTGTCAAATTCCTGGTCACACCTCAGCTGAAGAACCAGGACACTATCATCAACAGGGAAATGCCATTCAGGAGCTTCCAAGATTACTACTGTTACTCTGATAGAAGGGAAAAGTACGGTGGATCAGGCACCTGGCAAATGCAGGATGTGCAGTGATCCTGCCTGTGCTGGCCATGAGACAGGAACTCCGACGCGTCTCCCCTGGCATTTTTTGTCAGGGGAACCATCGTGATCGAGGAGACATGGAGAACGCTCCTTGACAGCATGATGGTAAACAGAATGGGCAGAGACTGCAGTCCTAGTGGAAGGAGAGACAGGGGAAAGACAAGGAATCTAGAATAGGCAGATAGACCGTTTTTGATTCTGCGACACTGAGTAGTTACAGCAATGTAGTTATTCGGCCCAACGAGGGCAATTTTCCAATATCTATAATAATTCTTGTAATTTCTTCCTGTAATTTCTAAACTATTTTGGGCAATTTTCCAATATCTATAATAATTCTTGTAATTTCTTCCTGTAATTTCTAAACTATTTTCGTAATTACTGATTCTGGTTTCTGATTTCTAGGCACAAGCGCGGACTCAGACGGGGATGCTGTTCCCGCTTCCTCACCTGGAATTCCATTGGGCAGTATCCCAACAGCAATAGGAAATAGGAGTCTGTATTTTCAGGAGAAATGGGACTGTTACCACAGAGCAACGGGTGGACACGCTACAGGATTAATAGGACCCAGACAAAAGGGCCCACGAGACAGCAAAGACGTGATACAACATGTGTAAACAGGGAAAGGACCTAAATGAGAGGCACGGGAAAGTTCAGTGAGAACTAATGATTTTTGGACGGAAAGTGAAGAAGCGACAACTCGTTCAAAGAGCCTCGTTCCACACCACTCAAAACTCAAGGGTTTCTCGTTCCACACCACTCGAAACTCAAGGGTTTCTTGCCCAACACTGTTCCACGTGCCCTTATGTTTCACTAATCACGGCCCTGCCGTGATTAGGTTTCCGGATTTAGCAAACGGGTGGGAAAAGCTCAAGGGCGGCTCAAGTGCGCCCCAGGCAAAGCTACCCCTTTTTCAAGTCACCTCTCTGGGCACACTTGAGCTGCACTTGAAAACGTGTAGAACCCCGATGGTTCTTTTTTCCGTTTATTCTCCCTTTTCTACCGCGTTTGTCCTGGTTAAACCTCTGGCGAGCTGTTGCAGCACCATTCAAGGGCAGACTCAAGGGTTGAGTGGAACGAAATGTGACTCAGGTAATTTTTAATCAAGATTGGAACTGCAGTGCGTACTCAGTTCAAGTGAAGTGAAGTGATATGGAACGCGGCCCAATTTGGAACCTATGTGGCTGTAATACATGCAAACTACCTGGGAATTCCAGGCGGGAAATACATGCGAACTACCTGGGAATTCCAGGCAGTCCAGCCCATGCAGAGCCTTGGATATGAGAGATTGAGCGGCTGCACGGGATCAAGGGCAGACACCTATTGATCCTACGCAGAATCCCAATCAACACTCACGAGATGAGCAAGGCAGCATGTGTGAGGCCTCACAGCTCAGTGGGTGGTACAGTGATGTGGGCCGAAAGGCAAAGGGTTATGCAGGAAGCCTCGTGATGAGACCGGAGCGCACCCAGTTTAAACATGTAGAGACATGTGGAGGAACACGCGTGGGCGTTTGAGCAGTGCCCACGCTTGTAAGAAACGGGGAATTTTTTCGATTTCGTGTGAAGAGCAATTTCGCTATTGCTTACCACCTTCTTCTCTTACCAACTCCGCTGGAAGGCAAAAAAAAAAAAAACAAGGCCAGGCTGGTCGGCCGTACAGGCGATCTACATTCGAGAAAAGGTGCTTCCGTCGGCAAGACCTCCCTCAAAAACCCGTGTTGCAGGCGAGAAAGTGCCTCGCTCCACTACGCTCCAAACGTGCGAAGTGAGAACATGGAAATGTACATTGCCAATTTTTCATCTTTTGTGCATGTGGAGAGTAGTGGCGGTCCCTCAAAAACCCTTGTGTTGCAGGCGGGAAAGGGCCTCGCTCCGTTCCTCTCCAAACGTGCGAAGTGAGACTGAATCCTCCGCTAGAACATGGAAATATGCATTGCCAATTTTTTGTCTTTTGTGCATGCGGAGAGTAGTGGAGCGAGGCCCAAACTCTCTACGTCGAAAGTAACCGTCTGACAGCTCTCGAATGGGTACACAGCTCTGGAATGGGTTTCTCAGGAGTCCCAATCAAGAGTAAGTGCAGCGACGAGGCCACAGACACTCGAAATTTCGACACTCTAGTGTAGTGCAGTGAGGCCCATTGGCTGTTCATGCGCCTGATTGCCAACGACACCGTAACACTGTAACAGGTTATTGTCTTTGCAAGCGACACCGTAGCAGGTTATTGGCTCTTCACGCGCTTTGAACGGAGCCGGAAATTGCTGCGCAGAGTTGGGACAGCCCACTCGTCGTGGTCATTGTTCGATGGCTTTCAGGCTTCCATACTGCAAGAAAGAAAAAAAGACACGTTCCCCGCCAATTCCCCTATTCTGGCAAATTAGTGGGGTCCATTCCCTCTAGCGGATCGGGGCCTTAGCGGCCGTTTCGCCGCGCTGTCCCTCAATTCTTCTGTCACTCGCACCTTCCTTCTATCTCTGTCGACCACCTGTTCACGTCACCGGTGATAGTACGAGATTACTTGGCATAGCGTGGCACCCGTACACGAGTGCGAGTGCCATACTCCAGACCGAGTCAGACTTCGATCAAAACTCCCAGAACACCAGCCTAATATAGCCCACCGCAGTCTCCTAGCTAGATATGAAGATACATACGTAAATGAAACCGAGAGACACTGAGAGAGGTAGAGACACAATCACAGCCGCAATACACATCCACATGGACAGGAAGAGCCAATGAGCGAAGAGGAGACACAGGACGGGAGGATACTCTACCATTTTTACCCACAATCAAAGATTTAGTTCTTGAAGCCGGAAAAACCGTAGTTGAGGGAAAGAGATTCAATCAGCCAGAAAATCGATGACCAGAATATGGTAGTTCAACCGGAAGAGAAAAGCGATTCGCTACAAATCGACGCACGCTGGGCATGTGCAAGCAATGCTTGCGGAAGAAGAAATTATGAGAATGAGCGTTCACTCAAGTGACTCCTCAAATATCTTCGACAATACCAAGACCATATGCTTAACTAGTAGCACACCCAGATTTATTTTCGGCATGATCTTGGGTCTGCACGAGTTGTAGGGTTGGATGCATGTCAGAATACCTGGGCGCTGGATGGGTCTGTTCAACATTATCGCACTTGAGACTTTCCTCGCTGGTAATTTCAGGGAACAGCCTTACTTTTGATTATAAACGTTAGGAATTTGACAAAATCCTTGACTTGAGTGCGACACCTTTCTCTTAGGCTCAACGGTCGCTAACATCACTTCATAATCTGGCGGGCGGAAGGAACCATGTCATCGACGAGTCGCTGACGAATCGCGAGCTCATGATATGCCAAATACAGTGACATCACGGAATTTGGAAAGGGAAGAAAATTACAAAGAGCAACCCCAGCAAAAGTCCAACGTCACGACAAATGACCTGTTCATAACGGCGATTGCCCTACAGTCCGCTTCAATCTACACGGTGTGGACGCAGATGAGCATCATCCTTACCCAATTATTGTTTGTTACGAATTCAAGCTAGGGTTTCCTTTATGACGGGACAGATCGTTTGTTCTTTGCTCTTCACGAAATTATTGTTTATCACGAATTCAAGCTAGGGTTTCCTTTCTGACGGGACAGAACGTTCGTTCTTTGCTCTTGGCGAAAACGGGTCCAATCCTTACGACCCTGATTTCACAGGAGCTCGACTCCATGCTCAACACCAATAGCCCAGTAGAACTCCTACCACGATGCACGAGGACTATACGAATAAAGACTTTCGAATCTCTCTGCCCCGATGGTAGGGAATTTGCGCATTCGATCAAGCCTACGCAACTCGATGGGAAACGAGAAGTACTTTACCACGACGCATCGTTCGCCGCCGTCTGCATCTATCGAACTGACGCACCCCATGAGAAACAAATACCCATGCCCTTCAACGCTGTTATCACTGCACTCGCACAAAGAGTATCTGGATGACCGAATCCCGAATCCGAAATGCGATTAGATGAGCTCATATGATCTCCCCTCCAACTAAGTTTGGTTACACACTCCACCAACCTACCTTAAGATGATGCTCGTCACAACACGAAGGTCAAGAACCATCATCGTCCGGATAACCCTTGAGTGTACGCGGAGGTTTTATCCCATCCCGTACGTTAGTTCTCCCTATGGTAGCGAGGGACGATTAAGCATTGTTTCCTTTCTCTTTCCTAGGAGGACTGAAGCTACTGGGAAAAGACAGAGTGGCCGCTCCGCTGCCCGTTTTCTTCTTCAATAGAATTGCCCGGTAAATGCGGTATGATTCACACCATAAATTCAAAGCTCAGCGGCCTAATTACGTCCATCCGACGCCTATCCTTCACTTAAACTAACGAGGAAAACAATAAACAAAAAAAAAACAAAAGAGAACAACGAAGCATCACAGCACCTCGAATCTTCAAACGTGCTTCTGGCGAAAAGAAAAGTGATAAACAGAAGCCAATGACTGTCTTTCGTGCACGCTTCGATAAAATTTGCATACACATCCGCATGCACTAAACTCAGAAGAAAAAACGCGCTTAGTGCCCTACGCACGTTTTAGCCAGGAAGCGCACGTGGTACTCATCAGGGACCTTCCGCCTGGGTCGGAATACGCCAACCACCTAGTTGTCCAGACACTGGAAACGCAAAGCGCAAAATTATGCGTTCATTACGCCAACTCGCAACACACGTTCTTCGGAAGCACTAAGCATTACGATTTGGAAGGATTTTCGCCTAATCAGAGGAGCACAGTAAACAAGCCACTGGATGGTCTGATCCTTAAGCCATAGTCCCATTTTCGCTCCAATTGTGATCGTGGTCCAGCTTGGCATGCCACTCTTGATGGCCACCAGTACAATCACGTCGCGTGGTATCCACTCACCTTACTTTCCTATCTGTGCTCTTCCTTCGCGGCCACCACCCTTTCTGTTCTCTTGCACACCGCTTTTCAATCAGCGCACCATTCTTTGCAGCCAAGCGAACCAGCTTCCGATCATGCTGCGCCGTCATTTATTTACCACCGTCTGTCGACATAGGCACTATCCCCCACTTTCCGTACAGGCAGTAACGAGACAGGAAAGAGAGGACGATGGACACCCCGCAACTCAACAATACCACCAAATAAGGAGTCGTCCACGCGGACGTCTCGGGAAAAGTACTAGTGGTACAGGACGCGGTAAACTAGCCAACGTCCACGCTCCACGGCCTCCACAGTCACTGCGTGTTGGTGCGCGATTCGAACCCCCAAAGAACTAGATAGACCAGTAGGGACTCCACATCCCGTTCAGCGGAAGCAGAGAAAAAATAGCGGTCACGTCACAGCACCAGCAAAAGAGACTGCCAAAGACCTAAGAGGAAGCGAGGGAATTGACATAACTACGTTTGTATGGGTGAAGCTATGCCCATGGGCAATGGAAAAGGAGGGTTTTGAGATCGCTGCAGAGGCTTCAATCGCTGCATTAAGTTAGAGAACGACGGCCTCATCTGCGGATTTTCGTGCCAGCATTCTTGAATGATTGAGCCCACAGACGCATCCACTGTGTCCGGGATCGGTAACCTGCGGTCCTGGAACCCTACAGCGCCTACCACCTGCATCGCGTTCATGCCAGACCATGGCTGTTGGCATGTTGCCAACTCCCAGAGGATGACACCAAAACTGTAGACATCACACTTCTCATTAGATGGTTCATTACGAAGGACCTCCGGCGCCATCCACTCGGGAGTTCCCGCCGTGGTCCTGGAAGAAAGGAACGTATTGTGCTTCATCTTGGACAAACCGAAATCGCAGACCTTGACAACCCAATTCCGGTCAACAAGAAGATTGGGGGACTTGAGATCCCTATGCACGATAACCGGCGTACTACTGTGAAGGTAGTTCATTCCCTTGGCAACGTCCAGAGCCATACGCATGCGCCTGCGCTCGTCGATGTTGTTGTTGGGTCGATGTAAGAGCCGATAAAGACTACCCCTGTGTAAGAACTCTGTGACGATCGACATGTTCGGAGGCTTCGTTACCGCACCCATAAATAGCACTACGTTGGGATGACGGAGCCGCTTCATGATGGCTACCTCACTTTTGAACTCTTCAAGAGCATCGCCAGTTATGTCTTGTTCAAGAAACTTCTTCACAGCTACTTCGGATCCGTGCCAATCCGCCTTGTAAACTTCTCCGTACGATCCAATGCCTATGCGCTCACCGATCACTAAGTGTTCGTACGGAATCTCCCATTCTCCGGCATCAAACATTGGATCGTACTGATCAGCCTTCTTATGTTCTCTGCCGCTGACACCGGCCTTCTCGTCAGACAACAGCCCGACCCGCTCTCTCCCCACAAGCCTCATGTCGTCCTCCCTACTCTCTTCCCCTTCCTTGTCATTCTCCTTCTTCTTCAGAGCGGGGCTATGCGTTTTCGACGCTCCATCCACCTGCGCGCCAAGACGAATGCCACCCGCCAAGTGGCTGCCATCAGTATCCCCCTTCATTCTCTCGCCTGTCATTCTCTCTTCAGCTTCACGCTCACCACCCAGCACTTTACTCCAGGCGCCTGTCCCACAGTCCCTCAGCTGTTCTGGTTCATCTTCCGTCTCTCTCCTCGTGCTCTCAGTTCCAGTCTCCCGTTGCTCGTATTGAGGAATCACGTCCCCGAGGTTCCCTTCCAAAGAGGTGGTGAACGTCCCATGCACAACTATCATACCCGTCCTCTCAGCTCCAACAGAAGAACCACATTGCTCTTCAAGAATAGGGCCCAACCTCGTCCACTCATCTCCGCTATTTCGATTTGCGTTAGGCGTAACATCATCACACATTGCGGGCGACTCCACAACCGCCAGCCCACCTTCGCCAACGTTACAATTTACACCACCAACGTCACACTCCCCTCCTCCCGCAATACAGCACCCCTCCTTCGCCGAGTCATTCACAAACACTGGTACCGATGGAGCGCGACAAGCCGCCGCCACTGCCGCATCACCCCGTGCAGCGTCACATTCGGACAATGGAGATGGTTTCGCTGACCGAATCTTTAAACCTTCCCTTCCGAAATCCGAGCGGCCTGACGGAGCTTTTCCTGCTGCCTGAACACGACCTTGAATCACCCATCCGTGCTGCATTGCTTCGTTGAGACGGTACTGAACTTCACGGGAAAGCAAGCCCTCCGAGATGGAAAAACCCCTGCGCTTGAAATGCTGCGCTCCTTCTAATTTCTTATTCTGCAATGCCCTAGCACGTGCCCAGTCCACTCCCTGAAGCTCGTCAAATGTATCTTTCCACTCCTCCTTTTCCTTCACAGAGCCTCCATTGTACCCCTGTAATTCCCCCCAATGGGATCCCTTCCGTTGTTCCTGACCTTCCTTCCCCTTGACCACGTTCAGCCTTTCCCAATCTGCATAATTAGTGCCAGGAGCGGGGCATCCAGGCACATGAGCTGCTCTAGCGGAGACTTCGCCAGGCAGGGAGTCGGTGGCGGGAATCATTGATCCAAACGGCGTCGGGGATATAACCATCGGCTGTTCCAAAGGTAATAATTTTCCAGGCTCACACAGTAAATCCAGCAGATATTGGCTTTCGTCTTCACACTTAATCGTGTTGAGCGAGCCTTCGCCTTCTCCCGAATACAGGCGTTGTTTGACGAGAGTGCACGGAATTTCCAGGGTATCCGCGAGGGTCTTGAAGAGGAGAGCTCTGTGGCGGCACAACCCCACCGTCAATTTGCCAACGGGAATTATAATACTTCGCTCAGCACAGTTCAGATCCCGGCGGCAGTTATCCCACGCCTTAAGCAGGTCGGCCTCATTCTTCACGGGGCCGCCCATCTTGTCCGACACGAGCGCTGCTAGTTTCTTCGCCAGCATCGCCTTGGACAGGCTTCCCCCCCCGGAACTTTCGCACTCAGTTGCCAAAATTACTGCCCGCTCCTCCAATAGCACTAAATCAGGGTCACTATTACGATCAACTATTATAACCTCCAACGAGTCGAGATTATCCGTCGGTAACACGGCCTTCAACTCCCCCAGCAGAGGTAGACGTTGAATGATGGCCGAATCGGCGGGCAAACCGCACAAGTCGTAGAAGCCATCCACAACAGATTCCCCGTAATCAAGGAAACCCCTTTGCCAATACTGATTGGTGACGACATCTGCAGGGCAGGGATTCAATCCTAGAGACGCTTTCTTGGCAGCCGCTAATTCAGCATCGTCTTCGTCATCTGTGGCTTCGTGAGTTGAAACGCTAAGTGCCAGAGCCAAGTGAAGTTGATTCTCCTCCTCAATCTGTTGGAAATCCAACGGCTCCCCACCAGTGGCAGTGCAAGCCAAGTCGGCGTCCGATAGCGCAGCGAGAGGAATAGAATTCCCTCCGCCAGCTATACCTACTAGAGATGCTGGGATCAATTGCCCGGACTGATCACCCCTACGCATGCCACCGACCATGCTGCCCCCATTTCCCAGCTCGCCTAAGTAGCGCCTCTCCGAATCTCGATCTCGATCCCTGTCAGTGCTCCTCCCGTGCCGAAGCCCGTGACTCACAAACCAAGACGTAAGCCCGTGCCTGGATTCCCCATTCGGCCTGGAATCCCCGGGAAAAACGGTTTCGTGATCGCGACCATCCGCCCTGCCATCCCTCTCGCGATCGCGTCCGTCCCTATCGCGATCTCTGGGCTCACGATGTCCCTGACCTCCCGTCTTGCTCTCGTCGCTATCCGAGTTTCCTCCACCATGTAACCTCCGCCACAAGGTCCTCATCTCGCAAACAATCGTTCTCTGCAAACTAACGCCTCTAGCAAACGGTGACGCTATCGACGTTGGCAATGGCTGCCCTTCAAAAGAAGAGGGCATCCAATGCAAGAGCCGAAGCCGCCCTTTTTCTCCCCGCTCAGCCACACATCAGCTAGGATGTTCCCCCCTTCCACCATCCTCGTGACCGTGCTGCATAGTAAAAATGCTCACCAGGTTCCTATCCGAAAAGTCGTTACCGGCCACAGCAAACCTTTCAGACGGTCATCCGCCGGTGTCTCTCCATACACCCGTCAAGAAAGATAAAATGGTCAGCCTCCCTAAAACGAGTCCATCAGTGCATTCCCGAAATTGGGATGGACCATAGAACCGCCCTCGGAAACCTATTGCAGGAGTCCGTGACGACTCGCGGAAAACTCATGCTTAGATACTGTCCGCGCTACTAGCCGCTGGTCTGTACAAACTGAGCAGATTCTGCACATACAAGTGACACCATCAACCATGCACCTCAGAAGAGAATTCGCTGAACGAGGAAGCGAATGGATAGTACAAGAACACATGGTGGAACCGGGAAACACCACTCATTCGGCGCAACCCCGCCAGCTCCGCGACACATCGCGACTTCCTGCCCTAATTTATCTGCAGCGGCGATACCCCTACATTTCTCTGCCATCCCAAAATCCGCATCGATGACGAGCTTCGTCCAAAATACACCGACGAAAAGACGGGCATCCTCCTCATGACAACAGACCTTGGGTCTCGCTCCACCACTCTCGCCTCTCGATTTTCTCTCTTTTTTCGACCCTCGAATTTTCAAGAGTCCCGCCTTTGGAGTGCCCACAGTTACTGGGAACGCCGTTTATAGGCCTGTTTAGGTTAGAGTAGGTAGTAGCTTGGTAATTACAGAACTTTTTTCTTTTCTTTTCTTTTCTTTTCTTTTTCTCTTTTTTTCTTTTTTTTTATATAAGGTCGAACAATTCATTGCGAAAAAAAAATTGATGTCGAGCCGGGGACCCACAATTCAACCCGGTGTCTCTCTGGCAGCCTTAGCCAGTTTCGCTTATGAGTCCATCCAAATTAGTAAATTCCGCTTCCATTTGAGCACAACCTATTTTACTTCCTTACTATATTACCTACTCAATCCTACTCTACCCTCCTTATCCTACCTCACACAGGCCTAAAACCGGCCCGGTACCGACCTATCGGTCGGTTGAAATACTACCACCCACCGCCCCTATTTGCCTACTGCGACTGACTTCAGTTATATTCCAACCGAGTGGACCAGGTTGGTAGTTTACCTCCCCTACTGTTACTAATGTCCTACCCTTCTAAACCCCTCAGCTTGAGGGTTGGTAACGTCGATTCATCCCATCGTACTCTGTTATCCATTCACCCCATACCAATCTGTTCTCATGAGAGATGTCAAAAATCCGCGTATTCTGAGCCCAAGTCCTTCTGAACCCCAAGTCCTTCTGAACCATTCTCTTCCCCTGGTCGCTTTCCCCCTGTTTGCTTTCCTGGTCCAGTCCGCTCTTATTTCCTCTGTCAGGCGATGTTTGAACAATACTTATGCGTGTTGATCCGACATGTTTTTTTCGTGAATCTCCTTCCATTTCTATCTTTCCAAATTATGCTCATCAAGCAGGCCCTGGCTACTTGAGCGACATACCCCCACCCCTGTTTTATTGAGAGATCTTGAGGCAGAAAGCCTGACAGCGCCCATCGCTCTCCCATGGGATTGTTCCTTCCAGTGGAAAAGCCACCATCTCCACCACTTCTGAGATCTTGGGCACGCCCACCACAGATGTCTTTAGTTTTCATAGAACCACCCACAAAAGTCGCACGAAGTGCGGATATCTTTCATACCCCTTTCTTTTAGCCACATTGTTGTTGGCATTGCGGAGTGCGCTTGTAGCCACAGTAGTGATGCCCACTTTTGTGAGGGTATCAGTTGTAGTTGTTTCCACAGTTGACGTCCTCTGCAGTCTGTGTTACTCTAGTGCTAACCTATAGTCTAACTTCTGGATCCCTGCTACTGTCTTTCCTTCCATTTCCCAACCCCAACCCTCTGGATAGATTCGTAGTCTCCGCACTTCTGTACCATTTGTTACCACTGAGAGGTTATTGCTTTCTCCCCCGCTGTTACGAACCCTACACTCGACCATGTCGTTCACCCCCATTCTTTCAATCGTACCAAAACGTTGTAAACTGTTCGCCTCCAACTGCTTCTCTTCAAACACCTCCAACACGCATTTCCCAAGTGGGTGCTCCTCCCATGACTGGATTTGGTAAAACCTCCTCCTTTGATCTTCATACTTTGTGTACCACGTACCCGGGGGATTTATTCCCTCTGGTGCAATGAGGTGCTTCCAGTCTTCCGGTATCGCATGGATGAGTGCCCTTCGCCTTTCCTGTTGTTGGGGAAGCTGCCCCAGCGTTTCCTTGATTTGTTCTTCTGTTCTTCACCCGTTTACCTCTTTTTCCCACAGATCTCTTATGGTAGTTAACCCCCTCTGCATCCATTTGTACCCGAGGTTCCCTGCACCTGCTTTCGCTGTGAACATGTTTCCCTCCAGGTCTCTGATGTTCGGATTGTCAAACAGGTGTTGTGCCAGCACCGTTGGTTTTAAGGTTTTCCAAGTTGTTATTACTTCCTTCCAAAAGCGATATTTCACTATTTTGTTCAGGAAAGCGTCTGATAACATCGCCACCCAGACGTCCTGAGGTCTGTTCAGACCCAATTCCGCCATCAAAATCCTCTTTTCTTTTTTTGTAACAACAAACTTTTTTTTTTTCTTTTAACAGAAAGTTCAACTCATCCATTACCACACAAAAGGGGGGGGGGCAGACTTACACGGGGACCTATAATCCCAAAATCCCAAAAAAAAAAAAAAAAAAAGGTCGGGGCCAAGTCCCACTAGCAACGTTGAGCTACCTCAACGCCTGAATCTGGACGCTTCTGCGAAGATGTGCAGAAATGGTGTTGAGTTTCCTGAACTGCACGCTTCTGTGAAGATGTGCAGAAATGGTGTTGAGTTTCCCGAACTGCACGTCTCCTCCACAAAACACGTCCACATTCAGGCGTTGAGGTAGCTCAACGCTGCAAGTGGGACTTGGCCCCTGGTCACACGGATCTACCAAATTCGCAAATGTACTATTCCAGTACCCATTGGGAAGCCGCGAGGCAAGGGATTTTGCGGTCACCTCTGGGGCACGGTTCCACTAGCACAGGAGTCATGGACTATTTGGACCGAGTCGCCGGGGGTGGGGGGGGGGGGGGGSGAAGCGCTTCCGCCGACGCTTGTGCACTCGAACCAAGCGCTGTCCCAACCGACAACAGAGACCTGCTCAACAGCTACCGCTATAGACGCAACGGCGGCTTGGAAGGTGACGTCACCCACCAACCGCCAACAGAGACCTGCTCAACAGCGTCCAGATTCAGGCGTTGAGGTAGCTCAACGCTTGTCGGTTGGTGGGTGACGTCCTGAGGTCTGTTCAGACCCAATTCCGCCTCGTGCCTTGACACAGGAACATGGAAGTTGACGACAGTCTTCTCCCATGGTGGCTTTGACCTCACATGAACAGCGAAGTTCCCCCCCACACACACGTTACCATAGACTTTCCTTCCTCTGCAATCTCAATGTAGGAAGAACTCCTTTATCTTTTTCGCCACTCATATCAGTTATCTTTGAAAGCTACACACCATAGTCTCGACTTTTCTTCGATGCCCCTTCACCACTCGACTCACTCCATCTATCGAACTCGACACAAGATGGAACCGGAAGGTGGATCAGCACAGGAGAGGCGGGGACCACGTTCTCCTCCCTCCCCTCCTGGGGACCGGAAGGACGACGACCGTATTAGGAAACTACTATGACTCTGTTACGAAGACGAAGTTCTCCCCAGCGACATCGACCCGGGTGAGATGACAGTGGACGGACGAAATGTAAGATTTAAGGTGAAGGAGTCGATTGATAAGTTGAAGGCCCAATGGCTAAAAGAGAGAACAATAACAGTTATTTACAGGGACGCGACAAGACTTTTACCAAGGAACATTAAGGAAGACCTTATTAGAGCGTACGAATACGAGAGAGTACAGGCAGGAGACTTCGAGGAGAACTTCCGAAGAGGAAGAGTATAGATTGAGAGCCTTAATGTAGCTTCGTATGTTGCCAAGAGCACAACGGTTTTTACGTGGATGGTCGAGGAAGGCGGAGCCGAGGTAGTCCTGGGCTCTTCCACGTACGAAGTGGAGTTCAAACCCTGGCTGACGAACGCACTGCTTAGAGAACAGCGAAGACTGGAGAGCCTCGCCAACTTTTGGGTTATTGTTGTCCAAGTACCGCTGGATGCGATGTTCTACCTTGAGGCACACATCAGGAGAGTTATTGGACCGGTCATCCTCGCTCACCCACCAAAGCAAGATCGCTAGAAGTCGGCCCTAGTCAACATCAAATTCGACATCGACTCGGATCCAGAAGCTAGACCAACTATGAAGGATTCGATCACGGTGGACACATTCGAAGGAGATGAACTTGTCGTCAAGCTAGCATCAGCAGAAACTCCACGGTGTCGTCGTTGTAGGGCGTTCTTTCACTCAACGGATGATTGTCAAAGAGGAGATCGCACAAGAAAGTGGAGGAGGGCCCAGAGGCCGCGGTGGAGGAGGAGGAAGTGGATGTGGGAGGGCTGGATCCGGTGGGGCGGGAAGCCTGGTGGGTGGAGCGGCTGGCCTTGGGCCAATTGGTTTGTTGATGCCCCAGCTGGCGGCAACGGAAACAACCGCCCTTGGCCTGGAGGAAGGCGCGTTCGGCGGGGGTGAGCTTTTTGAGACGAGGGGGTTGGGGGGAGGAGGAAGGCTGGGAGGCCAGGCGTTGTCGTTCCATCCTCATGAGATGGACAGCCTGGAAGTCTTCCTCGGTGAATTGGGTTGGGTCAAGGGACTCGGGAGATGAATCAAAGCCGTCGTCGGAGGGGAGTGACGAGTCGTCGGAGGCCATGTTGTGGAAAAACCGGGTGCGGTTGGGGGCGGCTGATCGTTGAGAGCGGAGGTGAGGAAGGCGATCATGGTGGAGAAGGCGGGTAAGGAGATCGGTGAGAGGGAGCTCAGGCTCATGGGCGAGGGCTGCGGCGAGGTGGGGGAAGCATACCCGCTTGATGCGAGAGATGAAGACGTAGTCGGGAATGAGAGTCGACGGGATGTGGAGGCGGAGGGTCAAATGTAATGGATGAATCGCTCGGTGGGGCCGGTTTGGCGGATGTTGCAAAATTGATCGATGTAGTCATCGATGGTCTTTTGCGGACGGAAGATGGCGATGAGAAGGTCGGCCCATTGAAGGAAGGTGATGCGGGGAAGGCCGTTGGCTTGGCGGTTGTTGGCTTCGATTAACGACCATTGAGCGGTGGCGCCTTGGAGGCGGGAGGTTGCGGTGCGGAGCCAATGAGCGAGGGGCATGTTGTGGAGATCGAAGGCATTTTGAATTTGAGAGAGGAAAAGGAGGACGTCCTCGTGGGGGAGGCCGGAGAACGTCGCGATATCGGTGGCGCGGAAGTAGCGAGGAATGTCCCCGTTGCGGGGGACGATGCAAGCGAGGTTGTTGAAGTTGCGGCGTCGGGAGAGGTGTCCTAGCAGGTGTGATCCTGACTGCGGTCACCAAGGAGGTAGCAAGGAGGAGGTTGGGGTATGGCGGGGTAAGCGCCCGAAAGGACTTGGGAGTAAGAGGGGTGGACAGAGGGGATGGTGGAAGTAGTTAGGAGAGGTTGGGTGAGGGGGGAGGAGAGGCGAAGGGGAGTGGAAGCGCTTGTAGTAGGTTGTGAGGAGGGGAGGGAAACGGGAAGGGAAGTGACGGGGGTGGAAGAAGGTGTGGTGGAGGACGGTGGGGGGGTGGTGTTGGAGGATGAGGCCTGGCCGGCTTGGCCGGCGGAGAGGCTTTGGCCAGATTGGCCGGAGGAGGGGGGTTGGTTATTTTGGCCGGAAGAAGATGGTTAGTCGGTTTGGCCGGTGGGGGTGGATTGGATGGATTGGCCGGAGGAGGAGGGGGGTGATGACGTTGTGACGACGGTGATGGCGGGTGTGTGGTTTTCGAGGGAGGTGACGCGATCGGATATGGAGGTCATGGAGGCCTCAATTTTGCGGAGCAAGGCAGAGAGTGCTTGAAAGATGGAGAGGAGAGATGTGTTCTCCCCGGTGCCTGGCTGGTCGACAAGCTCGCGGTGGATATCCTCGACGGAATCCATGCGGAGTGAGCCCATGTTGATGCTTGAGGTGCCTTCGGCCATGGGAAAGGACGAAGGTGGGGCAGAGGGAGAAGATGGAGTGGAGGGGACAACGGAGGTGACAGCAGCGGCGGAGGTGGCAGCAGTGGCGTCGGCGGCGGCGCGTTGGGAGGTCTTGGATTGGCGGGGTGGCATGTGGGAGTGGTTTCTAATCCCGATTTAAAAAAATGATGGTCGATTTAAATCGGGGTTAAAGGAAGTTGTCATGAGAAGGGGGGGGGGGTGAAAATTTGGGGGCAAAGTTTTGGGAAAGAAAATTAAAATCAGAACGTAAATTTCAAATGGAATAAAATTTGGCCGAAGAAAAAAATAAATTCGGGGGAAAAGAAAAGGGAAAATTTAAAATTTCAAGACAATGAAATTCGAATTTATTCGATTAATTTTCAAAAAGGGAAAACTTCTTGGAAAGAAATTTTAAAGGACAATAAAAAAATTCCGGGCTATTTTACGTGACAAAATGCTGAAAATTTAAAATTGGAATAAATGCAAAGATTCAAAAAAAAAAAAAAAAGCTATATTTTGGGGGTTTATTTTGAATTTTTAACGAATTTAAATGATAATTATTGTTACGAACCTGGTCATTTCCCAAGTGCAAATTCACAATGAAAAACAATGCCACCCAATTGCGAAAGAAATAAAAGCACTTGCAAGAGATAAAGACCAGAGGAGAGGTAAAGAAGAAGAAGAAGTACACCAGCAAGACCAATGACAATTCCCCCTTCTCTCTCCCCCTTCCTCCTCCTCCTTCACTTCACCAATCTTATTCTTC